GTATAAAAAAAAAAAAAAAAAAAAAAAAAAACCTCTCTTACATTTCATTTCAGAGCTGGGAAAAACTTGAAAATTACCAATGGGTAATTTCTTCATTTCATAGGTATGTGAGTAGAAATGTCTAGTTAAGGGAAGTTTACTTGTTCAAAATTATAAGATATTTGCCAAAGACCAGGTCAGAATCCAGCTGTCAAGGATTCTGGCTCACTGTCTGTTGTTTTTCGTTTGTTTTTCTGACACACACTGCTGCTCTTATCCACACAAATTCGCCAATTAAAAGCACCTTATTTGGGGAACTTCCTTTTGTTGAAGGTCTGGTGTTGACCTTCCCTGTTTCCACAATGTCTGGCCTTGCATTCAGTTTAGGTACACTGTCTCTCTTCTGCCCTTTCCCAGAAGCCTCTTGGAAACTCACCACCCAATGTTGACTTCAATATGAGCATCCAAGATGGCGACAACATCAGCTGTGGCAGCCTCCCAGCCAGTGTTGCGTGCCTGAGCGAGACCTTTTCTCTCAGCATGGCGAATTATTTTCAGTAGTCCTGGATACTGGTGGTTGTAAAGCGTAATCTTCTCATCCAAATACGTCTTTAGTTCTTCTGCCAAACGAACATACGGCTGTAGTTCTAAGCACAGTGACCAACGTGGGGCCAGACATTCACCCTATTATGTAAGAGTGGTCCGACTATCTCTAGCTTAATCAATGCCTACGTGACTACAGCGCTAAAATGTTCCTCGATCCTTCAAGAGTGATTGATTCAATTATTGATGGTATTCAAAAGAGCCAGTGGGGGAAGCCAAAGTGGCCACACCTTGCACCCACTCAGGTGCTGCTTTTAGGAATTAATCAGCAGGAGTTTCTGTAAAGCCTGAGTAACTACCTAATTCTACCCAGTGTCTACCCTAATTCTTCCCATTTGGGGCATCTGTCTTGGTTTAAAGAGCACCAGATAATCTACCAGGATCCTCCCAACTCCAGAATTCTACAGCTAGAATGAGCCATAGATTCTGAGTCACTCCCTCAGAAGCAACGTCTAGCAGGATTGAAGACACGTCAGTGGACCATCTAAAGTGAACCTGTGCTTCCTTCCCAGCATCACTCACTGCCCGTCCTCTCTCCAGATCCTTTATCCCAGGCTGCTCAGCGCAGGCTTCTCTGGCTTCTGCATCTTTGCTCACACCATCTTTTCTCCACTCCCTATGCATGCCCTTTCCCTAATCCCCAGTCTCTAAATCTTTCCTTGTTTCTCCAACTTTTCAAATCCTACCAAGATTTCAAGAACCAATCCAAGCCCCCTCCCCCAGGAAGCCTCCCCCAAACCATCGCAGCCTCCTCTCTGAGCTTCCGTGCATTCACTGACAGCTCTCTCGATTTGACACCTGTTCTTCATACACTGAGATGTATTTCCAGAGATAGGCCTTGCCACATCAGTTAAGATAGAAAATTCTCGCAATGGCTGCCTTCTTCCCTCCACAGTGCCTGACACATGATAGAAACGTGATAGGTACATGTTGATTGTGAAATTTGCCCAACATGAGGGAGGAAGTGCAGGATTCCACCTAAACTGATAGAATTTATAAAAAGCTTAGATTAGCTCTGTGGGTGCTCAAACATTTGACTGATGCAAATAAAGCATCACAAGTAGGGGAAGGGGAAAGGGAGCAGCCCTCTAAGACCACGTGTAGCATTTCAGCAGTATTCAAAGACTTTTCAAGAAGGTACAGATTATGTCTCCCACTGGTCTTACAGTTAGAAATCTTTTTCTTATTATTTGCCCAAATTTCTAAAATTTTGCAGTTGAATTCTAGTTTCTAAAAGATAATTTTTGCTGAGTCTATCACATGCTAAATGCCACAGAGAATCTGTATTGAATCAGTGAACACAGAGTTCAGAGTTGAGACTCTGGACTCTGCAGTTTACCGTAAAATCTCAGTTCTGTCTCTTACCAGCTGTGTGAGGTTAAGTGAGCTCCTTAACCTGTCTATGACTCAGTTCTTGCATCTCTGTAATAGGCAAAAAGTGGCTTCTTTCTCACTGAGTTGTTGTAACAGTTAAAATAGTTAATATATGTAAGGTGTTTAGAATAAACAGTTAGCTGCCATTATTCTTACATAACTCTCACCATAGTTCATGCTTTGCATCTAAGGAAATCAGGGCGTAGAGAAGTTAAGCTAACCAAGAACATACCTCTTAGTAAGGGAGAAGTGGGGAGGAGATGAGAAACTCAGAAAGCCAGGACTCAAGGTGACTCTGTCCCACTTCCCCTGAAGGGGGTATCTTGTGAGCAAGTCATTGCCACTGTGAAGGGTCTCAATGCCCAAAGCTCTCGTTTTCTGTAGACTTTGTATGGAGCAACTCTGAATCCCTTGTTGTGTCAAGGTCCTCCTATGGACCCCACATCACACTATCCAGTCTCCTTCATGGTGGAAAAGCCATGTTGGGGTCGTGTGGTCCTGGGCCTGACTCCCCTCTCTACCACTGTCTTGCCATGCAGTTTGGGCACACTGCGAAACCTCTCTGCATCTTGGTTTCTCTGTGTGTGTGATTGCCATAGTGATCCTCTGTCCTCAGTTTGTGAAGGTACAAAGAAACCCTCAATAAGCCCCTCTTCCTTCTCCATACATGAGACAGGGCCTTCAAGGTATCCAAACCTTGAGCTAAAACCTCTTCCTAGCCCAGCACAGATGTTGAAGTGGTCACTTTTACAAGTATCCATTTGTCAGGTTGCTCACCGTTTGTGCTAAAATCATCCACCAAGATGATCTCCTTCAATAATCGAGAGGGGGTCCGGTTAATGACACTCGTGACGGCCCGCTCTATAATAGACAGAGCTTCATTCATGAATATGAGAACGACACTGAGGGATGGAAGCTGAGAAGAGTATGTCTTCCGAAGACACCTACAAGACACCATTTCGTTATAGCCGTATCATTTTTCCATTACTTAAACATTGCTACCCACTCTTCTCCCTCATTGCAGATGATATTGTACCGATCAACTCACCAAACTCCCACACTCAGTAGAGATGAACACTCTCAGTTGCTTATGACAGACAGAAGATTATATATATTTGTTTTGTAGTATTTATCTTTACATTTTTTAAATTTAATTTTTACACTCATTCAATGTTTACTATTACACAAAATGGATTTTCTTACCCAGAATACACTGTGTATTAGCACAAAGATATTACTATACATATTATCTTCAACAGATCATTTGTTTACCCAAAATTCTTCTGCTTCAGAGATACAAAGCATTTCTTTTTAAAATCGATCTTCAATACGCATTTTCACTTGAACACTCAAGTGTGGATTTGAGAGTCAGCACCATGTAAGCAGTGGTTGCATTCTTTTTTTTTTTTTTTTTTTTGAGGTTTTTGCTATAGGGCACATACGCTCACCAGAGAGACAGAGAGACAGAAAGTGACAGGGGATGGCCACGCAGCAATCCCTTCTCCTCCATTCTCCTCTTGGGATCTTGGACATGCACGCACACGCGCCCGGTGTGAGTTTAAGCCACCGGGTCCAGGACTCAAACCACAGCTGGCTACATGGGAGTCCAGCGACATAGCCGTTACGCTAACTGGTCCCAGCAGTGGTTGCATTCTTAAGTGAATATAATCACCCAGGCTTTGAGCAGAAGGGAGCCTCAAGCTGAAGCATGCAGATCATCAGTATTTAAAGCAGAGTTAGAGGAGTCTGACAGAGATACACTTTAAAATCTTCAAATTTCAGTGGCGGTTCTTAATATCTAGGACCGAATGGTACCTAATGAGTATGTATTTAACTGAGAGTAAGAATCGGTAATTATGTTAAGGACTGACTAAAGCTCTTCTCCACTCCCCGCCCCTCTAATTCACATAACCACATCGGCTACTCTCAGATGTTCTTTCCCCTGCACTGTCTCCCATGCATTCTTTTGAGTATTTTCCTGGCCATATTCTAAATGCTTTCGTAACAGTTCCCTGATCCTCACCCTGTATTCTCTACCCCAGCCAATATTAAGAAAGGCAGGAAATGTGGTTCCCGTGGTTCCGGATAGAGACCATTTATGTCATTGCAGAAACTTCTACCAGATGGAGCTGGTCTACACACCCGGGAACTGGGAGAATAAGAAGGGAGAGATTGGGACCAGCCGTTAGCGTAATGGCTATGTCAGTGGACTCCCATGTAGCCGACCACGGTTCGCGTCCCTGACCCAGTGGCTTAAAGCTACTTATCATGGGCTAATATAATGGGAAAACTAGGTTTTTAATTTAACTTTAATTTAAATTTAAATAGTCACACATGACTAGTAGCTACCATATTGGACAATGTAGAAGAAGATTTGGAAAAACTATTTGTTGGTTAGATGACATCTAGAGAACTGATCTGCAGCTCTTCCCAACAGAGAATCAGAGCAGTGACCGCCATCCCCTCTCCTCAATAGGAGGACGCAGTGGCAGAAGTTGAGAAGGTGAGTTCTGGGCGATAGAGCTGGAAAGACAAACTTCATGTTATCACATTTTGCCTGAAACCTCTCTGTATAGAACAAATTTGTTCACACACACAAAATACCATCTAACATTTAGGTTTCTTCCTAAGGCAAGTCACCCCAATGCAAGGCCAGCTTTGTGGGCATACACTTGTGCAGTCCCGTCAGGCCCCACACCTAGACGGTCTCCTCACTTGGTTTCATCCTTTACTATTACCATGCTGAAATTCTTAATTAGTTTTGAACAAAGGACCACATTATCATTTTGCATTGGGCCCTACAAATTGTATAGCTAGTTCCCTCCACAGCATTTTGGTGGGCTCCTGTTAGAGATTAATTATTGAAGCATTGAGTTTTCATGTGTTTATTTAATGGCTTGTCAGTATTTATTATCTACCTAAACTCAACAAGGTGACTGAATGGTTCTCCAGTTCACATATCACTCCTGGGCGGCCTGTCTACGGTCTCTGCAAGATAGACCGAGGACATGATGTGAGACCTGCCAGAGCCGGCCTCACTCTGCTCCCATACAACCACCCAGAAAGCTGGGGAAACTGGCAACGACGATTGTTTCCGCATCTCACTTAGCAGGAAGCTAAATTAAATGGTGTACAATATCTTGAATGCTAAATTCAAGATGCCATGAAAGCGCTCATTCTCCAAATGACTTCTTTCTCAAAGAAAGATAGTGCCGTGGGCTCCCTGTAGTTTTCAAACCGAGAAGGTTTATAAAATGCTCCAGCTCTGATACCCGTGTGTCTGAGTCACATGAATTTTTTGTTAACAACACAATTTTTTGTGGATTTCTTTTTAAGTGTGGGACATGACTCAGATGTTAGTCACATGCTATGTCATGTACAGATACTTGATTCATACATATTTTTTGCCCACAGTCATACTTTCTGACAAGTTGTTCCACAAGATAAATTCTTTGAAAATAAACCTCTCAATGCCCTTTAGAATGCTTCACAGTTAAATTAGTGCAAGGCAATTTCAATTGCCAATTGAGTCCAGCATATTATCCTTATACCTAAAGATTGAAATTACACAATGGGCCTGGGAGAAAATTTACGAGGTCTTATTTGCCTCTCCGGCCACAGGTGGCAAATACAGACACACATACCCTAGTTACCCCTCCCTCGTCCACAGCAGGCATTGCTCATAGATTGTGGTACTCATCTTCGACCACAGGGACTCAAAAGTCTCCCCACTATAATAGTCCAAGTAGTCATTACCAATCAAATAGAGTTGGAATGAAAGATGAAAATGCTTTGACCATCCTTGCACAATCTAATTATGGGAAATATTTCTCTAAATACCTAAGGGCATAAATCTCAAGTAAGATCATTCATGTGCTGAAATGAGTGGGCCTTGGCAGAGAAGTAGCTTCTCTCCCCGTGCCAATCAATAACAAAAACCACATTATTATATCAACACGCCAAAAAAGCATTTGACAAAATTTAGGAGCCTTTCAAGATGAGAGAGAGAAGAAAAAGACAAAACAAGCCAGGAATATAACGGAATTTTTGATAAAGAGCATCTATGAAAATCCACAGCTAACATTATACTTAATGGTTAAATTCTTAAACACCCCTCCCCGTAAAAAGGAATAAAACAAGGATATCAACTCTCACTATTTCTATTAAATTTTGTACTGGAATTTCTAACCAGGCAATTAGGCAGGAAAATGAAATTAAAAGTATCATGGTAGGAAGAAGTGTAATTATCTCTATTTGCAAATGACAAAGTGGAAAGTCATGTTGGGTACAAGTGCATGAGTGCTCAAAATCCCAAGAGGAGTGTGGAGGAGAAGAGACTAGCATGGCCACCCCCTAGGGAGTGATTTCTCACGTTTTTTCCTCTCGGTCTCTCTGTGTCTCTCTCCAGCAAGTGCACACACCCTATGGCAAAAAAACTAAATAAATAAATATATGTATTAAATTTACTAAGTAAATATTGGAATAAATGAATTCAGTAAGGTTGCAAGATATAAGATTAATGTACAAATATCAGTTCTTTCTATAGACTTGCAACGATCAGTGTGAAAATGAAATTGAAAAATAATTTCACTTCCAATAGACTACATGGGAGTCCAGCGACATAGCCATTACGCTAACTGCTGGTCCCAAAATATCGACATATTCATTGTTGTAACAAGGACAACACTTGAAAACATTATGGTAAGCTAAAACACACACACACACAAATCACAGTCACAAAACCCCCGTGTGGTTCCATTTATACGGAAGTTCCAGAGTAGACAAATCTATAGGGATAGAAAGGAGATTTGTGACTTCCTAGGGGTGAAAGAATTGTGCAAAATTAAGAGTGGCTGCTAATGAGTAAGAGTTTCTTTTCTTTTTTGTTTTTGTTTTTAAGAATTATTTATTTAGTTTTATTTAGTTAATTATTACTTCATTTTAATTAATTAATTAATTTTTAATTTTGCTACACAGAATGTGCATTGACCAGACAGACAGAGAGAGAAAAAGAAAGTGAGAAAGCCAGCTGCCAGCTATTTGGTCCATGCCTCCAAACCACACTTGGCCATGTGGGAGTCCAGCACCTTAACCACCATGCCACCTGCTGGCCCGAAGAGGTTTCTTTTTTTTTTTTTTTTTAAGAGATTTTCACTGTAGGGCGCGTGCGCTCGCCAGACAGACAGAGAGAGACATAGAGACAGAAAGCGAGAAATCACCCCCCAGAGGGGATGGTCACGCCGCAATCCCTTCTCCTCCATTCTCCTCTCGGGATCTTGGGCACGCACGCACACGCGCCCGGCGTGAGTTTTAAGCCACCGGGTCCGGGACACGAACCGCGGTCGACTACGTGGGAGTCCAGCGACATAGCCATTACGCTAACTGCTGGTTCCCCCAAAGAGGTTTCTTTTATAAGTGATGAAAATATTTCAAAATGGATTGTAGTGACAGTGTACAACTCTGCAAATATACCAAAGTCATTCATAGGTGTACTTTAATTGGATGAATTTTTATGGTATGTAAATTATATCTCAACAAAGCTGTTATTAAAAAAAGATGATGGGGCACAGAAGTAAGACACGGTCCAAGAAGCCAATCCCACATGGTGAGCACGGTAGAAATCACCAACCCGGTCAGCCGGGCACACGCCGGCACACCCATGAGGACCCAAGATCTGACAAGCCGGAGGCCTAGAAGGAAGGTCACTGCATGATCAGGCCCTGTGCATCTCTCCCCGCTCCTTCTCTCTCACACACATTCCTTCATGAATAAAGAAAAAAAATTGTGAAACAATTATGAAGGAAGGTGAAAGAGGCAGAAAGAGAAAACCATGGAAAAAAGAAACAGTAAAAGAGAAGGAAGTCTGTTCAGATTAGCTTCCGTAACCAAGAGGAATCCTCGTGGAGAATTTAGAGAAAACACTAAAGGAAGAACAGAGCAGCCAACTTGAGGGGACTTGCTCCGGTCCCTTCTCAGCCTGCTTCCTCATCTGTGAGAGTATCGGCTAGGCCCGTGCTGTCAGAATTCTCAAGGACCTCTGACATTTCTGAAGGTCCCCAAGGGGCTCCAGATATTTAGAGTAGTCATTCATCTTCCCTGAGCTACCATTATAAAATGGATCAAAAGCAAGAACTCTGCTCCTCAGCAGAACCCACTCCTCTTTCCAATCCCCATCTTTCACAGCTCCCAAAATTCATCCCCAATCAGAGTGAGGTCCCCAGAAGCCCAACCCTGCCCCCATCCCACCTGGAATCGCGTGTGTCAGGGATGGTGCGATTGAGGGGCAAGCGGTCACTGAGGTACACGTTGTAACCAAACTTCTCAAAGAGGTCCTGGGCCTTTTGCTGTTCAGCTTCAGAGAGATCGTCTCCCCACTGCTTGAAAAGCTGTGAGTGTGGGAAGAGTTTCTTTTGGGGTTTGCGCTTCTGGGCCTCACTCTCTGTGGATTTCACTGCATTTTGAACAGAGCGTACTTCAACTTTCACCCTCGTTAGTGTGGAGTTCATACTTTCTTGTTGCTTCAGAGCCAACTTCATACTTTCTTCTGCAAATGAAGAAAACAGAACCAGGAAAAACATTTCAGCCCATCCTTAGTTATCTGGGCATTGTTTCCCATGCTAATGTCCTCGAAAGGGCCTACTCTCCAAATTCCAAGTTTACAAGCTTTTGTCCCAGAGAATGACATGTCAGGGACTTGTCAGAGCACGCAGAGCTGCCCTAGCAAGGCATACCATGGACACCTCTCTCCCTTCAGCTTCATCGAAACTTCTTTCTCCTAAACCGTAAAGGCTCCTCTAGGAGCTGACTTTCTGTGACCTGTGACAGAACCTGACAATAAGCTGCTGCTTTTCAGAAGGCCTGAGAACTGAATATATTAGAATGATCAATTGTCATTATTAGAAACTGTTGATATCCAGGCTTATCCCCCAATCCACTAAACCAGAAACAACTTAGGGTCAGGTGGGACTAGGGCAGGAGAAGTTACCAGAATTTGCATTTTTAACAAAATCAAAGAGTAATTTCTTTATACAGTAAAACACGAGAAATGTTGCACAGCTAGTGACTAGCAAAGGCCAATCTGTTCTAATCACACCATCCACCCATTCCTCCACTTTCCATGTATTTGATCGACTGGGAACTTTTAAACTGGATATGTCCTACTGCGTTTTCCAACTTAATTATAGGAAAGTCTTCAAAAGCCTGTTAAAAATACAAAATCCCAGGCCTCCTCCCAAGACTCAGTAAGTTAGGTAGAGTCTGGGAATCTACCTTTTTTAATAACTGCTCCAGACAAATTTAATGAACACCTTAATTTGAAAAATGCTGCCTTAACTTTAAAAAAAAGAAAGAAAGAAAGCAGATAGTAACAGACTCAGAGGACTTTTCATGCAAAAGAGGCCTTCCAGGATCCTTAATATCAATAGTAGCTTGTAGTGGACCGCGGTTCAAGTCCCAGACCCAATGGCTTAAACTCACGCCGGGCGCATGTGCGTGCGTGCCCAAGATCCCAAGAGGAGAATGGAGGAGAAGGGCGTGGCCTTCCCCCCAGGGGGTGATTTCTCACTTTCTGTCTCTCTGTCTCTCTCTGTCTGTCTGGCGAGCACACGTGCCATATAGCAAAAACCTCTCCAAAAAATAATAATAATAATAATAGCTTGTATTTGAAAAATAGCCAAAAAATTTCAGAATTCTTTCCCATTCATTGTTTACCTCACCTTTGTAGCAACCCTGAAGGATCTGTGCTGGAGGGTCTTAACATATGCACCTTGAACTTCCTCGAGCTCAGTTAATGAACTCAAAAAGAAGAGAGAGAAAGTAGCCATTTCCCCATTTAGCGACTGTACAGTCCTTAGCCTTAAACCCCACAATAGTAATGAAGGACCCAGAAGATGCACTTCTTTCCCACTAATCCTCCCCTCGTCACACTAAATTCCAGCCAGACTGACGGTATCACCTTTAGCCCACCCAGCATTTCCCTGCAAGTTTGCAGAAGGACCCCATTTTCCTGGGTGATCACAATCCAAGGTCACTAGCTTGATGAGGGAACAATCCACTGTGTGCATTTTCTCTGGGTGAACATGGCCCCAGGCCGTGGCATCATGGCTTGGCGAGCAGAATGTGGCCTGGATTTTAGATCTATGTACAGCCCCAAAAAAGGGAGCCAGAGGGGTCCTGTGACTGAGGAGAAATTGTCTGGAAGGTGACCTGAGGCTGCTCCAAAGGGGAAGAGAATCAGGGGTCAGTGCTTTAGACAAAAAGAGGCTGGTCAAAGCAAACTTGGGAAGAAAAATCAATGGTATGTCTATGAAAGAAGGCTCGTGTGATACTACGCGTTTTTTACTCACGTGGAAAATCAAAGTGAAAGCTTAATGTTTGCAGTGTTCCAAACTGAAGTGCTCGTCATACCTTTCTACCTTAAGCACCCAGGAGTCACAGGCTGGTAATCAATTATCCCTGCCTCTAAACTCCTCTACATTCCTCTTAGGGAGATGTAGGATGTTCTCTTTTACTCTCTGCTGTCAGTAGGAACTGGTTTAGACCTGGACACCTAAGGGTCAGTTTAAGGACGTGCAGAAAATGTACCAGGTTGAATGCAAACTTCCTAGGTCATTCCCAAAGCAGACACACCCACTGATATCAAAAAACCCCAGAGAAAGTTCCAGCAAACTGGTTGGAGTGACTGACTCTCCCTCCACAAATATCATTATTGCTGTGTGTTTGCTTTTGCCCTCGATAATCTACAGAATCTGTCTGACTATCCTTATTGATTTAAGACTTTCTTCGACCTTCCAGGAACCCTGGAGGCAATGATCAACCACTATGACAGGCCGAACAAGCTTTCAGCTACAGAAAGCTCTGCAGGAAAGAAGAACACTTGTCACCTGGACACAGGGCCAAGAAGACATGAGAAGGTTTATGGCAGAAGGTAGTGAGTCTCTGGCGCCAACTTATCTGCAGTGAGTAAAATGTGGGAACACCAAGGATAAACAGGAAGGGATGGCTCCTCAAGGTGTCTGTCCCCAGCTGTAGCAGAAGGAGAAAATAGCTAAGATCTGAGCAGAATCCCTGCCATTTGAAGTCTCAAGGAGGCTAAGCCAGTATGATAAGCCTGGGGGTCAGGTGCAGGAGTCTGGTGTAGTGTGGGTGATCTGCCAAACAGTGGCCATGTTCCTGGGACCTGCAGCCTCGGGCCTAGGCATCTTCCCAGAAGACTGCACTGAGCACATTGCATGGGCCACGTCCAGCCCATCCAGGTCCAGTGCAGGGCTTCTAGAGCTCATGTTCTCTGCCTCATCACGTCCTCCCCTTCATCCCTGTGGGCCTGTCCTTTCCTCTCTCTGCCTACACGCGTTTGGCCATTAAGTTATCTACGTAATTTATATTTAAGAAATGAGTGGTATATAAGACGCTCTTAGAACCAACATTTATGAAACTTGCCTTCCAGAAGTGTGCCACAGTAAGATTTCCAGTCTTATAAGGATGATGTAGAAGGTCCTGGGGGCGTTTTATACCTCCTCTCCTCTTACCCCCGGCTTATCCCTGTCTCATTTTCCCCATATAAACTTGGTTATCCCTCTCCCTGGACTCACTTCTTTGCTCCTTTCTGCCTCATCTCTTTTCTCTCTCATCCCCATTCTCTCTCCTCCTTTCCCTGATTTCTCCTTTCCTCCTTTTTCTATCTTTCTTTTCATCCCTCTCTCTGCCTCACCCTGACCCCTAGCTATGCTCAGTCCTCAGCTGAAAGGACACAGCCCCCAACTCCTGCCCATAGGCACATATCCAAGTAGTCACACCCTTGCTCACACATTCAGCACCGCCCTGCCGAGTCTGAGCATTTCAGAAACATAAATCCCAGAAGAGTTAGGATTCCAATGCAGTACGTATCAATTTATAAATCACCTAGTACACACATTTTGCAATCCTGTGAGGTCAAGTTTGTATCTATTACTATTGCTATTATCATCTCCAGGAACCTGAGCCTGAGCCTGAGCCTGAGCCTGAGCCTGAGCGAAATATCACTTGCTCGAAGTCTACAACCTTGATGTATCAGGATGTAATTGTAGATCCTCTGAAAAGACATTAGTCTATAATAAGAGCTCAAGGAAAATACAAAGAGCCTTTGCACTAAAGATTGCCACTTCCCTAACAGCCCCTGTTGATAGGCCTAAGGCTACAGCGTGGTTTAAAGAATGCTTAGCCCTTCCTGGGCCTCTCGGACAGTCTTATGAGGACGATGTGGAAGGTCCCGGGGGCGTTTTATACCTCCTCTCCTCTGACCCCCTACTTGTCCCCATCTCATTTTCCCCTTTTTCCTCCTGTCTCCATATAAACTTGGTTATCCCCTCTCCCTGGACTCATTTCTTTGCTCCTTTCTGCCTCATCTCTTTTCTCTCTCATCCCTATTCTCTCTCCTCCTTTTCCTGATTTCTTCTTTCCTCCTTTTTTCTTTCTTTTCATCCCTCTCTCTGCCTGACCCTGAACCCTAGCTATGCTCAGTCCTCATCTGAAAGGACACAGTCCCCGACTCCTGCCCACAGGCATGTATCCGAGTAGTCGCACCCTTGCTCACACATTCAGCACCGCCCTGCCGGGTCTGAGCACTTCACCCTCATCATTTGGGAAGCGGGGAGTGGGTGGGGGGGAACTGCTGCTTCTCTCACGGGGTCAGAGGACAAGAAACGTAAATCCCAGAAGAGTTAGGATTCCATGGCTAGTCAGATTCACACACTCCATAATGTGTTAACTCTCACCCTGAACTTTAGGTGAGGAGGTTAAAATGCGGTACGTATCAATTTATAAATCACCTAGTACACACATTTTACAATCCTGTGAGGTCAAGTGTATATCTATTACTGTTGTTATCATCATCTCCAGGAACCTGAGCCTGAGCGAAATAAAGCTCAAAGTACACAACCTTGATACATCAGGATTTAATTGTAGGTCCTCTGAAAAGACATTAGTTTATGATAAGAGCTCGAGCAAAATACAAAGAGCCTTTGCACTAAAGATCACCACTTCCCTAATAGCCCCTGTTGATAGGCCTAAGGCTACAGTGTGGTTTAAAGAATGCTTAGCCCTTCCTGGGCCTCTCGGAGGTTCCTATTCTGGCTTCTGCCTCCCTGTCTGGGGTAAGCAGATGTGACCACGCTTGTGCACAAGCACACACATTTTGAGACACACCCTGCGCCCCTCCCCTAAAATGCTTGCTGTCTACCTAATTCTCAATACCTGCCTCCCAACGGGAGTCAGAGAATTCAATGTCAGATATTTAAAATGAGCAACTGAGTGATGAAAATGTTCTCGGGGCCAGCTGATGGCATAGTGGTTACATGGCTGGACTCTCACATAGCCAACCGTGGCTCAAGTGCCAGACCTGGAGGCTTGAAAATCACACTGGGCACATGTGCATGTGTGCCCAAGATCTCAGAAGGAGAATGGAGCAGAAGGGATTGCAGTGCGGCCATCCCCACTGGGGAGGGATTTCTCACTTTGCCTCTCACTGTCTCTGTCTTTCTCTCTCTGTTCAGCCAGCATATGTGCTTTATGGGGGGGGGAGACAGTTGCTCTCACCCATTTTTCCCTAAATGCCCTTTTTTTCTAAGTGCCCCTACACACACACACTCATACACACAGTCACACACACTCACACACACACTCACACTCTCACACACACTCACGCACACACACACACTCACACACACACACTCCATTCCCTCCAAGTCAGGGCCATGAACTTACTCAGGTGCTGCAGGTCTGCCTCCAGGTGAGAGAGTCTCTTCACCACCTCCCCTTCCCTCTCGGACAGAGGCAGCTGAAGTTCCTTGTGACCCAAAAGACTAATTTGTGAAGTCCCTCTGCTGTAAAATACCAGGAGATTGATGGCAATCGCCAGAATCAGCCCGATGCAGAGGACTTTGGGGAAGTTTCTCCGGAACATCATCTCCTGCCTGTGGCTCCTCCACTCCCTGGGGTCTGGGTGCCTGACCACCCGGGCAGACTGGGGAGCAGAACCACTCTGCTTTGCCTCTGGCCAGCGGTTGCCCAGCTGACACCCACCTGCTGAGCCAGAGGTTCCCACAAGCTGCCTGGCTTCCCCCTGAGCAGCGTCAGGTGTGGGGAGTGTGCCAGGGCAGCTGCCCAGCAGTTGGCAAATCACCTGGGCACACCTGGCAGCGTGTCAGAGCTGGGGGAAGGCTCGCTTCTGGAGCCAGCGCAGGGTGCCTGGGTGAAAGCTTTTCTGTCTGCCTGTTTATTTGGTTTATAAGGTCTCCGGTAAAACCACCTGGGTGACTCTCTGGTAGGGCATGTAAGGCTGGGTTCTGTGGGTACAGAGGGGATTAGTAGGATGAGAAAGGAATCCACAAAGCAGGAAGCATCTAAACTGCATGCTTTTTGAGAGAAGGGATCATAGCTTTAATGTCGTACAGGGGACCAGCAGGTGGCATGGTGCTTGAGGCACTGGATTCCCACATGGCTGACCATGGTTCAAGTCCCACACCTGGCAGCTTGTTTTCTCTCTTTCTCTCTTGCTCTCTCTCTCTCTCTCTCTCTCTGGTCAAATTGAAGAATAATAATGATGACTAAAGTTAGATAAATAATTCTTTTTAAAAAAAAGTCTTACAGGGTCTTAAACATGGTAGGTATGCAACAAATGCTTGTTCAGGGAACTTAAGGAGAGACTTTCCAGCTGGTTCCTGAGGCTCGCCTTCCTGAAGCTGAAGGCAGTCCCCTAGGGAGAATGTCAAGGGATGACTCTGCCTCACTGCTCCTTGCCTTCCGCTCCTTCTCTGCACAGCTCTGCACACTGGGCTTCTGTCCCGTGACTCTGCCAATGGGTACCTTTTATGTAACTAGAGGGCCATAGCAAAACCAGAAAGGTCTATGCCATTTTATTGCATGCAGCCACCACAATCACATTAACTCAAAGTTATTCCATCTCCACTCTAGGTCCACAGCTTTATCAGTCTCCTGGCGTCATCGCTTTCTCCTTGGGGAAAACTGACTGAGTGGCGCACAGAGCTGCTATGTACTATTTTTGCATATTTTTGTGAATTTGGAATTATATTAAAATTAAAATTAAAGTTTTTGTTTTGTTTTGCTTTGTTTCTTCGAGAGAGATCTTTGCTATAGGGTGCATCTGCTCACCAAAGAGACAGAGAGTGACGGAGAGACAAAAAGCGAGAAGTCACCCCCCGGGGGGATGGCCACACCACAATCCCTTCTCCATTCTCCTCTCGGGATTTTGGGCATTCACACACATGCACCTGACGTAATTTTTAAGCCAGGAGATCTGGGACTTGAACCACGGTTGACTACGTGGGAGTCCAGCAACGTAACCATTACGCCACCTGCTGGTCCCTGAGGGTTGTTTTTTTTTTTTTTTTAAGCTTGCTCTCTATCCTATACTAACTACTGAAGTGGATGACTTTTTGAAACTACAAACCCTGTGGAAGACATTCAAAAAACAGTAGTTACCTCTAGAGTGGCAGGAACTAGAGGACTGAGGGATAGAGGTGGGACTGACTTTTCACTGTATTTTCTTTTTTTAAGATTTTGCTATAGAGGAGCCAGCAGGTGGCACAGTGGTTGGGGTGTTGTACTCCCACATGGTCGATCACGGATTGAGTTCCAGAACCAGACTTGGTGCTTTCTTACTTTTTTTTCTGTCTCTGTCTCTCTCTGATCAAAATTTTTAAAAAGATAATAGTAATAATTATAACAAATAAAATAAATAATACTTTCTAAAAAGATTTTGCTATAGGGTGAGTGACTTTTTTAAAATATATTTTAAAATGTATATCATGTTACAAATCAAATTAAATAATTTGACCAAAATTGCATCATAATCTGATTCTTTCTATTGCTATTTAAACTGAAGTTCACTTAGCAGAGAAACCAACAAGTATTTCTCTCCCTGTAGTGTTTTTTTAGAGGTTTTTGCCTCTGAGTACATGCGCCCGTCAGAGACAGAGACAGTGAAGGAGAAAGTGAGAAATCATCTCCCAGGGAGGATAGCTACACCACAATTCCTTCTCATTCATTCTCCTCCCAGGTTCTAGGCATGCATGCACGTGTACCCAGTGTGATTTTCTTTTTATTCTTTTTTTTAAGAGATATTTTTGCTATAGGGCATGTGTGCTCGCTGGAGAACAGAGAGATAGAAAGCGAGAAATCACCCCCTGGGGGGATGGCCACGCCATAATCCCTTTTCCTCCATTCTCCTCTCGGGATTTTAGGCATGCATGAACATGCTCCCGGTGTGAGTTTTAAGCTACCAGGCCCAGGACTGGAACCTCAGTCTACTACATGAAAGTCCAGTGATGTAACCATTATGCCACCTGCTGGTCCCACCGGTGTGATTTTCAAGCCGCTGAGTCCAGGCCTAGAACCGTGGTCGGCTGTGTGGGAGTCCAGTGACATAACCACTACATCATCTGCTCCCCTCTCTCTGTAGTCTATTCTCGCACCTCTCTCTCTCCACAAAGAAGGTGATGGGAGGCCTCAGGGACGGGACCATGTGAATGTCTTTCTGGGAGCAGTAGGCTCCCTCTCACCCATGCCTTCACTGCTCAGAACACCGGGGCAGTGGTCCTCCAGTGCTCAGCTCACCTAGGCCACCCGTGGAAATGAATGCCCTGAGCAGCATCAGGTGTGAGGACAGTGCCATGGCCACTGCCCAGCAACTGGCAAGTCACCTGGGCATTTCTTATACTGTGTCTGAAGTCAGAGGAGGGACCAGCAGTTGACATAATGGCTATGTCGCTGGACTCCCATGTAGCCAACTGTGGTTCGCATCCTGGACCCAGTGGCTTAAACTCACGCCAGGCACGTGTACGTGCGTGCCCAAGATCCCAAGAGGAGAATGGAGGAGAAGGGATTGCGGCGTGGCCATTCCCCCTGGGGGGTGATTTCTTGCTTTCTGCCTCCAAAAAAAAAAAAAAAAAAGAAAAAGAAAAAAGAAGTCAGGGGAGAGCTCACTTCCAGAGCTAGCTCAGGCTCTTAGCTTCAGGTTCTAACTCCAAAGTCCAGGTAAAAAGCTTACAGAGGGAACCAGCAGTTAGCGTAATGGCTATGTCGCTGGACTCCCATGTAGCCAACTGTGGTTCGCATCCTGGACCCAGTGGCTTAAACTCACGCCAGGCACGTGTACGTGCGTGCCCAAGATCCCAAGAGGAGAATGGAGGAGAAGGGATTGTGGCATGGCCATCCCTCCTGGGGGGTGATTTCTCGCTTTCTGTCTCTCTGTCTCCCTCTGTCTGGCGAGCGCACACGCCCTATAGCAAAAACCTCTAAAAATAAAAAAAAGAAAGCCTACAGAGTCTGATCCGCAGGTCTGTAATGGGATGCAGGACTCTGCATTTTAACAAAGGCCTCACATGAATATGCTTATATCTCTGCCCCCAGGGAGCCCACAGATCTGCAGGGAAGGTGGACTGATTTAGTCAGTGTGCTCACCACCCTGTGGGAGGCACCCACACGGGCCAATGGCCACAGAAAGACAAGCGACAGTTCTGTACAGCATCGTGAGAGATACGCAAGTCCCTTCAGCCCCTTTCAGCAAGTCCCTTTAGCCTCTCTGCCACGGGAGCCCGTGTAAGGAAGGTCCCAGGGACAGGAAAGTACAATGAAAAATAAGTAGTTAAGGGTGGTCAGAATGTGGAGGTGGGGACAGGAATAAAAATAGTAAGAGCTGTTCACCTCGATTTTGTTTACAACAGCAAATAATAAAAAGCTGGCTACATGTTCCAACCACGGGAGAATGATTAAATGATGTATAGCGCGTAATAGCTAAATGAATTACGACACTCCACTCCATAGAATATTGGAATACTGAGGGCAATGAGGATAGACTTTTAGAGCACATGTAGATTACAGAGTGATTACAGACCATACAGTGTCTCCACTACTACCTAGCCACGTAAACTAGGGCAAGTCATTTCACCTTTCTGAAACTTAGTTTCCTTATCTGCAAAACGAGACTGTCATAAATATATATATATCATTCTCCTTGACAGAGCTATTATAAAACATGAGATAACCTTTGTAAAGTGCCCAGTATATTCAATCAACATTAAATATTAATATTGCTTTTTTAAAAAGAATGATTTATTTCATTAATTCCATTAGTTATTATTTTTTAATTTGATTAGAGAGAGACAGAGAGAAAGGGAAAATGAGAGAGCAAGCCACCAGGTCAGGGGCTTAACCGCCATCAGCCATGTGGGATCCAGTGTCCTTGTCCACCACGCCATCTGCCGGCCCCAATGTGGCTGTGTGTGTGTTGAAGGGTATTTTGAAGGTCATATTGTGACACAAAAAACTGCTTACGATAAAATGCTAAGTGGAAGAAAAAAATCTATAAAACTGTTCAGGTCACCTGAATTTCCCAAATGGTATCTTACAGGAATCTTAAACAATGTCACAGGGTCAGTAGAGTCCAAATGTATCTGCCCATGGTGCAGCACTCCAGACCTCTGTAAAATCTCTTAAGTAAGAAAGTCTTCGGAAGGGTCTCAGAAATGGTCCAGCGAGAGTCCCTGGAGTGTCTGGTGTTTCCCCACTGGTATCCACACCTGGGCGGTCGGTCTCTACACCAAACACTGCAGCCTCTCACAGAACACCTGCTTTCTGCAGTGAAAGCCCCAGGTCCTACTGCTTCAGGGGTTATACTTACCTTCTTTATTTTAGAGAGAGATTTTTTTGCTATAGGGCATGCATCTCACTGGAGAAAGAGAGAGAGAGAAAGCAAGAAATCTCCCCCAAGGAAGATGGCCACGCTGTGATCCCTTCGCCATTCTCCTCCCTCCCAGGATTTTGGGCATGCATGCACATCCGTGAGTTTTAAGCTGTCAGGTCTAGGACTCAAACTGCACTTGACTAGGTGGGAGTCCAACAACGTAACCACCACACCATCTGCTGGTCCAACTCACCTGCATCTTA